CCTGAACCTGGACGCACAGTTCGGGACCCCCTACCCGAGATCCGCCGGTTTTGACACCGACACTGACCCTCTCCAGTTCTCTCAAAATATCAATACTAGACAAGTTACTATCAGGAATGATAACCCCCATTTTAGATGCTCTAAGAATAAGATCATTATCAGATAAGACATCAAAGGAGTTGTGGTTAGGGTTACCTTCCAAATTCCTCTTTTTTGAGATAGCAACAACCCTATCCCGAATCTTGTCTTCCATGTTCTGCACATTCCTTGCACTGAATCTCAGCGTATCCTCAGATTTTAGTGGAGGAGTAGGAATCACTTCCTCCACATCATCAGAAGAGACAGGAAATTGTACCAAGTACTCAGTACGCACCCCACCCTTGCTGTTATCATCATCCACCAGTTCTTCCACCTGGGCACATTTTTCATTTACCCCCAAGTGAGAAGTACATATATCATAAATGTCATTAAAATAGATTCAAATATCGCATTTTCTACCTGAATCTCATCAGCATTCTGCTTGTTGTAATCAACAATAAGTAGTGCTTGAGACCAACCCAAATCACATGCTTCCTTAGTAATAGTCTCAATCAGGAGTGAGTGTATCGTCCTCAGACTCCTCTGATTCCTCCTGGACATCCTCGGCATTGTCACTAGGAGCATTTCTCCCAGTGGTATTACCCTTGTAAGCCCCCATATCTCTCTCTTTTTCAACATTTTGTGGGTCAGCCTGAGCAAACTGCTTCCCATGGGATGAGTTTTTTTAGTTGACTCAACCTGGGTCACACTGCTCTCTCTCTCAGGGTCTCTGACCAGAATCTTCTCAATGTCATAAAAGAAATTGAGGAAGTGCGTGCCTAGGACAGCCTCAGCCACACCAGGTAGCTCGTCCACATTGCGACATCCCATCCGGACTCGCACATATTTAGGTTTGTGCAGAGTGGCCATGTCAATTTCAAGTGGGACGCCAACCAAAGATGAGACATAATCCACGTTCCTTTCATTTCTCCGTTCCAGAGGAACTTTAGCCACTCTAACCCAAGCAACTTCCATCACCCCTTTTGCTCCAACATTGGCAGACCAGGGGACAATCTTGACGACAACACCACAAGATCTGAGAGTCGTCCTATCATTATAGCAAGTTTTTTTCACATCCCTCTGATTAGGAAACCGCATGACATAAGTATTAGGGCCTATAGGACGCGATGTGCGGTGCCATTTTGTCCCAATGTAATCAGAGAATGCTTCTTCCAGCTCCTTAACACTCGCCTCTCCCTCAATAACAGTAATCACAACACTAGTGGCTCTTTCCTTAAGCTGCTTAGCAGTACAAGAATCTGGGATATAGAGAAAGTCCCGGCCCTTGGCCTGAAAAGTGCACATAGGAGCAACACATTCACAAGGCAGAAAATCCGTACAGACTGAAGCCAGATGCCCCATCTTACTGCACCTCTCACAAAAGGCTTACGGGCAACTAGCAGGAGTATGGCTAGTAGCTTTACAGATCAAGCAAGGATCATAGTTTTTGGTTTGGGGCACATGGTTTGATGACTCAGCCGGCTGGACGACATCGGGGATCTGCTTCTTCTTGTGAGTATTGTCGATGTCGAGTCCAGGGGGATTAGGGTTTGGGTGCTTCTCCACCCATACCCCCCAGATCTTGCCCGCTTAGCCCGATCCACCGCTTTGGCCCACCACGTGGTGTTGTCCGAGGCTGATGCCGCCTGCTTGTTCGTGGAGAAGTCGTCGTCGTCCGCCTCCCTAGACCACGAGAAGCGGCCCCGACCGCGGCCCCGATCGAAGTGACCACACCGCGCCCGAATCGCCCAGCGGCGAAGCCTTCCCTCCGATTTCCG